GTTCTGATTCGATAGTAACCTTGATATTAGCATGGACTGAACTGAAACTGCTTGGTACGTTTGTTGTGCTGATGGTTTCATCGACAAGAACGAATATGTCATCTACGTAGTGGCGATATAATCCTAACCGTCCAATGAGTGCATCTAATATTTGAGTCTCTAGCTTGGTCATGAAAAAATCTGCCAATAGGGGACCTAGAGGAAACCCCATCGCGTCCCAGTCCTTCTGTCGATAAATTTGATTGTTGAAGGCACAAAGGAGCAGGAGTTTCTTAGGATCCGAAGTGGGAATTCCAATATCCTTACCGTTGCACTCAATCAAGTCACAAACGTAGTCTATTGTCTCGGTGAGTGGTATGTTGGTAAACAATGACTCGACGTCCGGGGAGAACGTGGAGTGTTTATCAAACTTCAACTCTCTAATCTGATGGACGAAATCAAAACTCTCTTAAGCTGTGTCGACACTTCTCTCCTGATTGGTTCTAACAGACTGACCAACCATTTGGCCAGAGCATGATAAGGAGAATTAGGCATATCGAGGATGGGCCTGAAAGGTAGGCCGGGTCTGTGCACTTTCGGGAGACCATAGCGCCGAGAGATTGTTGTGCCAGTGGGGCGGATACGCTTGGTGTCAATGCTTCCGGATTGTTTAAGGCGTCTTAGTATTTTGGACACCGCTTTTTCAAGCACGTGCGTCTTGTCTTTCTCGGACTCCATTTTCCTAAATTTGGATCTGTCTGAGAGGATGGTAGTCATCTTATCAATGTAGTCGGATTTATTCATCAAGACCATTCCCGAACCTTTATCTGGCTTGGATAGTAAAACTTGGTCGTTTAGCTGTAAACGTTTCAGAGCCTCGAAAAGTTCCTCTGTTAAAAGTCGTTTGGGTCTGGGTTTGTAGCTGAGGTACTTGTAACATGAATTGACTAGCGTCGATTTCAGTTGTTCTACACTCAGTTCAGAGGAAGGTACTAGCACTGAAAGCTGGTCATATGATTCTCAAATTAGACTTCAAGCTCTAGATGACAGTTTCTACGACTGGGACAACAAAATTTTGGACCTAGTGACTACGCCTCCAAAAGAGTGGTGTTCAGCATTAACGAAGAAAAATTGTGCACGTACCTTTCGGGTATTAGTGAACTAACTATTTTCGGAATTACTCAAACGGCTCTCCTAAAATCTGTGTGAATGAATAAACAAAACAAATAATAAAAAAATTGGTACTTTCGGTGACACTCATTTGTCCGATTGTTGCACCGCACTGCAAACACACAGCAAAGTATCCTGTTCAGGGACCACAAATAGATCCTCAATCACTTCGTTCCTTCTAGAGATTGAAGAGCTGATGACTCGTGAGTTTTTTATTGAACAATTTGTGACTTTTCTTGTCCCGAGCTTATATTACACGCATGTTTCACAAGAACTGTGAAATGAGGATTCATGAGATAGGAATGACTAACTGGGACTCCCGATCAGTCAGGTAATTCCAGGTGGTTGTGGTGCACAGTTTACACTTTTTCAAGTTACAAGAGATCAATTCTCTATTCACTCCACAGGAAGGCGTCTTTTTTTACATCATCAAACTACTGGCTTCATGCCGCCACCAGGACTACGTCGTCCACAAAAGTAGTCCAGAACCCGGTGCTCTTTTTCGGGCGGACTGGAAGAAGTCCGAGTTATTCCTGCTTGAAGTGCAAGATTATGTCAAATTAAAATAATTATATTCAAAATCTAAGATAACTGAGATGCATTTTATACGCCGTGTATACAAGTGACTTGGCTTCGAATTCGGCAAGCTACAAAAAACATTCTTTGTTTCAGAGAATCAATTAATTGAAGCCCAATGTAAGAGGGAATGAACTTTTCACGAACACTTTTCTGAGGCAGAACCATTCCGCCTCACCTTTCCTTAAATGTTCTACTTCAACCTCACAAATCAAACCCAATTATGACTAGATTTTTTCATTCTTTTTAAATGGAAACACCCGCTTCAAATCCGGACGAACGTTGTGAAAAACTTTGTTCATAAATCAAAAGTAAATAAGACATTTGAATTTTTATAGCCCCGCACATTTTTTAGCTGATTAGTGACTAAAAAGCACATGTTATTAAAGGCAGACAGGAGAATAATCGCTGTTTTTTCACCGATGAACGAAACAGTATATAGTACATTTATCTTTCCACCCATATATGGATAGGTTGTACGTACTCCCGACTAAAAACTCCAAAAGGTTGTTTGCTTGGCCTTAGAAGAGAAAAGGCAACCGTTTGCCAGGTATGATGTCGATTGGTCACTGCCATGCTCTTCGTACAGCAAAAAGTATTTGGGAGAGTGGATAACTAAATAGCCAGTTTAACGTAAATCCTTTGGGGAATCACTTGATTGTTTTTTATCCACGGCCCCTTTTTTGTCCAGTTCGATCAGTTTTTTGGGAAATCAAATAGATTGTCTTTAGTTGGCAAGTGATCAGATGGTTGTTGATCTGTTCGCCGAGGTTGCCAATTGATTTGCAAACGTTTCGTCACCATTCGACGAGACATCTTCAGTGAACTGTTGATGTGTGCACTGAACATGTCTCAGGTTACAGCGCAAAGGTTGCTCTTTGTAAACTATGTAGCCGCAGGCACGAAGAGAGGGACTACCCAACCAACAGCGCACTGAAGATGTCTCCTCGAGGAAACGTCTGCAAATCAATTGCCGACCTCGGCGAACAGATCAACAGCCACCTGATCAATTACCAACTAATGCACCCGAGCTACCAATATTCCGGCACACGCTCTTCTTAGCAAAAGAACTCTTTTGATAATATATGGACGGCATTTCGCGGCAAACCAAACTTCGTTTTTTCGAGGGAGGTGTTACCTAAAAACCGCAATTCATGTGTTTTCAACTCGAACAAAACGTTCGATTAATATAGTGATTCTGGCGTCCTCTGTCATAGTAGAACAGAACAATTGTCTTTCCTGTGGGAGTATCCTCCGAGTACGTTGACTATTTAAAACGAAAACAAAATGCTAGCTAGAGACTCAAAACGCCTTCTCCTGTAAAACGGTTTTGCAACAAAACAAGTGAATTTAATTTTTACGAAAACATTAATTTTCCTATCACATTCCCCCAAAGTTTCAACTTTTATCTCTTAATTTAGTCACGATAGGTTTCTGCAAAAAAATTGCTGCACAGTTGACCATTTTTCCTGGAATACTGAAACTCCCGCTACCCCCACTGAATAATCTTGCGAACTTTTTCGGCTTCTAATCTTTGGTTGCACAACATTCAGCTCGGAAAAAAAAACAGAAAAGGATGTTTTCAGTCAATTGGAAAAGGTTTGGAACCGGTTGAGAAGTCATCGTTTCAGAAGAGCTTGATAAACAATCGGTAGTTTCTATTTGAGCAGCTTCATCAGTTCAAGCGAACAGGTCACTAAATTGGCCAGATTATAAGATAGACGGGGAACCAATCAGTTGGTCCTCTACAAACTAGATCAGTGTTGAGTTTCAATTAACGGCTCTTGTCAGCTAGTGTGGGTGCCAAAATGTTGAATTGATGGGTTGGAGGGGTTCCAAATTATGTTGTGTTCCAAATTAGTTCCCGATCGCTTTTCGTTCCTTAATCTTCCACTTCAGCGTGCTTCACTTGATGATTAGCCTCGATTGCCACCGTGGGGTTGTGAGTGTTTCGACAATTTAGTTTGAGGGGGTTGAGGTCAAGTGGATTTCAGATGATGACCACTCTTCCTCCTGATGACCGCACATCAAAACGTGTCAGCTCGAGTGACCCAAGACCGTTCTGCACACGCTAGCCAGTTCCACGCCTTCCATTCTGTTAACACCGGGATGCTCGGCGATTTCTACCGCCTCGACGATCAGTCTGTGTGAGGTGGATCGTAGTCCTCGTCTCAAAACCTCAACATTTTCTAAGTCTATTTTGTGTCCCGTGTCCAGTGGGTGTTCCGCAATTGCCGATTCGTCAATTAACGCTTGATATTCATCTGCGTTTCTCGGCGGTCTGTTTATTTTCCCACTATGCTCTCCGACTCTGATGTGTAGTCCCCTGGCCGTCTGTCCTATGGAGACCTTGGTGCAGTAGACACAGTCCCTGGTTCTGTTTGCCGGGAAGCGATCCTTCAAATGCACCAGTGCAGAGCGCACAATGTTCCCCCTTTGGAAAGTTACTGTTACATTAGCCGCGTTCAGAATTCTTCGAATGACCTCCGATGTCCCTGGTTTATATGGGATAACAGCGCTCCCGATCAATTCCCTGTTGAATTTCGCTACCGGTACTAACACCCTTCGCAATTGACGCTTACGTAAGCTAGCTGGATATCCACGACCTCCTACCAATTGTTTATCAAACTCTTCTGAAAAGAAAAGGATGTTGTTTTGGGATGAGCGCTCAAGCACAGCGTGTGATACAAGAAATTGTCCTTGACAGTACGCTCGCCTCTGAACTATTACCGACATAGCTTTGCTTCTTATCAGAACGTTATCAATAAACATTGAAAACCTACCACAGCCCAAATTATTTTGCTCACTCTACCTTCACATAATTAATTTATTATAATCATCTCACAATTTTGCTCAGTACTAGTAGAACGTAAGTTTTATTGGTAGCTTTCTCAGCTAACTGAAAATAAGATTACGCAAATTACATCTAGGATGTCTTTTCCAGCGTTTGAATCAATAAAAATGATGCAACCTCAAGGTTTCGTTGCCTTCTCCTTGAGCGCATAACAAACCCGTCCGCCAATCGATCAAATATATTTAAAAAAACTTGGGTTGCTTTGATTGGCATGACAAGTTAGCCCACGTGGGCGCTGAAAATATCTCAGGGGCTCCGAAAAGAGGCTTATGGGCTGATAAGATCAGTAATAGCTTATTGTACCGATCCGTTTGTTCTGAGCAGTTTGACAGCAAACAATTAGGTAGTCAGTAAAGTAAGCAAGCGGATGCCAGAAGAACATGGAAGTAATACGGGATGTGGCTGACCGTAGCATCTAACAATCTAGGCTAACACAAATTATTCATTGCACTTACGATCCGAACTGGCGGTATTCACACTCAGAAGTCACTTACCCAGCATATTAGTAAAAATTGTTAGTGTGAAAAGATTTTGGATTTTTGTGGAGATTTCGTCCTGTAAGTGAATACGGTTAATGCTGAAAAGCCGATAACCACTGTACAGCTGCTTCACCCTTATCGGGAATCATCAGCAATGCGCCTCTCACGAAACTCCGAAGAGTCTCGATCCCGCGACCTCCTGGCTAGTAGTTTGAACACTTAACCGAGTGGCTGACCAGCAGTGTGGTTAACTCGCACTAATTCCCAATAAGGTTTAAACAGCTGTACAGTGCTTCTCGGCTTTTCAGCATAGATTGGCTTCACTTACAGGACGAAATCTCCACAAAAATCCCAAATCTCCTCACACTACCAACAATCTGTAAGTAGCTCAGTGGAAGAATTAACTTCACCCGATGAGTGAAACCTATCTGAGAAGTCGTTGCTCGAGGAGCCAGTCAACACGTGTGACCGCCTGATGCGGATATTAGTAATAGTTTATGAAACATTTGGGTTTCCCCTATATGTAGAGAGAAAAAATGGAGGAGCTGTATTACAAGCCACATGTCTTCTTCTTAGAGATGGAAACAGCAACCATGAATTGACGTTTGCAATAATTAAAGTCTTGGAGTACTCATTCACATGCTTTGTTTGGGTATGTTCAATAAGTATATCTACGCGCAAAATCCACAGTAACTCTTGTTATCAATGCTGTCACAAGAACTGGTTGAGATGTTGTACAGCAGACACACGGCGCTAACGATTGCCAAAGTAAAGGGGTAAAGTAGGTACGCAACAGGGGTCACTGGGAGATGCAGTGCTCAGCATGAATGTTGTTGGGAACACTTGCTCAGTAGAACTTCCTTAGGCCCTGTAAACGCCGGTTTCATAGAGCCACGATGATATGTCCTACAGACCAGATGGCTGATGTGGAGCAGTTGGTTAGTAAATGGACACGAAGCGAATAATTCATCTTCCATGGTTCAGAGTTGACTAGGTAGCCCACGGCCTAAAGCATGACGTAACATCCGCTGTACATCGTGGCTGGCCGGCTGCACGACTGTGTCCACATAGAATGGTGATTGTGGTTAACCCAGTCGACGTGGTTGTTTGCGGTTGAACATGTCAAAGCTCAGGCTAGATGTGTAAATAGCTTCGTACAAAATAACGTGAAAACTTAGAATTGGAAACTGGTCAAAGAACAGGACCTCCGATGCAGTGGTGAGAAGTCAATTTAAACAGCGTAGACTGTTTGCTGCTGTCTGAAAGGCTATCCGCACGATTAACTTGGGACAACTCACAGCCTCCTAACTGAATGGCACTACCGTACAACTAGCTATCCGTGTATCTTTAAGACAGATTTTTATTCCACCATTCGTAGAAAGTAATCACACACCAGAATTTCGAGTTCCCTCAGTCTAATAATTGATACATCACCAACCGATTAACCGGACATCTTGAACGTTAGTCAATCTAATAACGTGTCAAACCGACAGTTTTGTGTCAAATGTGAAGTACTGTCCAGCAAGACGATCATCCAATCAGCTTTAAGCCTTAAATCATTGCTGTCAGCGTTACCGGCGTTAGAAACAGTTCAAGTATACGAACAACGCACTTGGTTTCTGATATCAACGGTATTTACTTTGAAAAACACGGTGCCCTCTACTTAACCCCCCATTCTTCTTGCACTTCAGAGGAAGAAGAAAACCTCATCGCTAGTGAGCCTCTACTTTTGTCTGAAGTTTTGTGCAACGTAAAATGCAGTTCAGTACACCTGCGGATCATTAAATTGCAATCTCGACCACATTTTGTAAGCCTAAACACATGAATCACCGACAATGTGACGTACATCTTAGCGTCTACGTTAACAATAGTCAATGTGGTGTCTCAGCTGATATCTGGTCAAATAATTTCATCCGGTTGCATTAATTCCTGCCATCTCCTAGATAAGGATGAAACAGTTTCTTGACTGATTCGAATCAACGCTTCTGGAGCGCGGTGATCAGCTGCAAGGCAGATGCGTCGCTCCAGTGTTGATTCCAGTAGCGTGCGTTGCAGGTAGCTATGAGATACGGACGCGTAGCAACACTGTTGACAGAACCGATCGAGGGTCATAGCTGACCACCTCAACTTCAGTGCTATTCTTGGCGCGCTTTAAGAACAGCTGTGGTCATGCTTCCTTTTGTACGGCAATAAACAGGTCCAAACCATCAGAGTCGATGTTGGATCAGAGGCGTAGTGATACTAAATCATCAACAGATGTCCTCTTCACTACGCACATGATCTGTTTAAAGTACGTTGGGAGTCTTTCTCAAGCACCCAGGGCCAAAATTTCCTATCTTTCGAATGCCAGAAACACGTTCTGGCCAGGTTTCGGAAAAACAGAACAGACCCGTCCGGACAGCGAACTGATAAATTCGAGTATCACCTTGAAGTAACTCAAAGTAAAGACTTTAGTGTCCCAGACTGGACAAAATATCTCACTGAGTGGTGCGAAAATTACGGGAGCGCAAATCTTATACAACTCTGAAGAAGTGTAATCTTCAACAGGAGCCATGCGGTGTTTCAGTTTCTCAATGTTTTCCATCAGTTACCTTATACTGAACGGCCATCATCAGCTGTGCAAGATAGAAAGTGAGGCTCAATGGTGAGAAAAGGCGCATGCTAATGCCTGCGATTTACCAGCTGTTTAAAATGTTCTGTCCCTGGTGAACGGTTCTCTGCTGGCGCCAGCATTGACCCCACCACATGCAGTGCTTGGGGTGAACTGAGCAAGCTAAAACTCACCGAAACCTTGTCACAGAGGATGAAGTTGCTTCAAAGTCACCTGGTTTTGATGCAGCTTCCATGGAAATCATCATGTTGATCTACTGTCTAGTTCGGTTGCTTGGCGATGAAGCATGGGATATTTTGGCGCGTCTCCTTAGCCTGGGTTGACAGCCATATGGTGCGCTCTGAGATCCAATCTTTTGTTGACATATCGTGGTTCCCCTCTGACTGGTGTCAACATTTTGTATCACACGCGTTATATACTACCAGTATGTACTGACACTATCAAGCACTAGAGAACATGCCTCGAATGTCTCGTGGATGGCGTCAGATAGAGATTATCGCCTATCCAAGTAGTAAACAGAGGCAGTGTTGTATCTCCTGGCAGGACAGCACAACTAAGCTCTGGTCGTGTAAGTGTGAAAGAATTCACCTCGGTTCCCTGCTTCCGCTATTCTGATAAAGCGGAAGTCCGGTGTGCAAGAAACCCACCCAGGTTCTTGGGAGGTGTGTCTTTATCACCTGAGCACCATCCCAAAGGTTTCTTTTCGGGGTGCTGGAGCCATGTTCCAGTGATGTTCAACCGCTAAAGTCAGTGAAGTTACCAAGACTTGCACTATTTTCGGAGGGGAGACCAAGAATCTACTTCATATGAAAATGGCGTATTGAAGCTTTGTATGCTTAGGATCAAAAATGTCACTCACCAACGAGCGCTAGCATCATTTTGTTGACAGCTGCACTAAAATTGTTACAAAAGTGTCGCTGGCGATCAAGTATCAGCGGGTATACGGATATCACTAGGATCTTAAATTGTAAACTTCTGATCAATGTCAGTGCAGTTATGAGACTGATCCATTGGAATGCTAATAGTGCATCTTGAGTAAAGAAGCGATACTAGAGCATCCTTCTGGACCGCTGTGATGAAGCTA